GGCCCTGCTGTGGGACTGAGGCCTGCTGTGGAGTTGGGCCCTGTCATGGGGCTGAGGCCTTGCTATGGGGCTGGCCCCTGTGGGGCTGAGGCCTTCCCTGGGGCTGACCCTGTTGGGCTGAGGCTGTGCTGTGGGGCTGAGGCCTTCCCTGGAGCTGGGCCCTGCTGTGGGGCTGAGGCCTTGCAATAGGCCCAGGCCCTGTTGGGCTGAGGCTTTAGCTGTGGGGCTGAGGCCTTGCTATGGGGCCGGGCCCTGTTGGGCTGAGGCTGTGCTGTGGGGCTGAGGCCTTCCCTGGAGCTGGGCCCTGCTGTGGGGCTGAGGCCTTGCAATAGGCCCAGGCCCTGTTGGGCTGAGGCTTTAGCTGTGGGGCTGAGGCCTTGCTATGGGGCCGGGCCCTGTTGGGCTGAGGCTGTGCTGTGGGGCTGAGGCCTTCCCTGGAGCTGGGCCCTGCTGTGGGGCTGAGGCCTTGCAATAGGCCCAGGCCCTGTTGGGCTGAGGCTTTAGCTGTGGGGCTGAGGCCTTGCTATGGGGCCGGGCCCTGTTGGGCTGAGGCTGTGCTGTGGGGCTGAGGCCTTCCCTGGAGCTGGGCCCTGCTGTGGGGCTGAGGCCTTGCAATAGGCCCAGGCCCTGTTGGGCTGAGGCTTTAGCTGTGGGGCTGAGGCCTTGCTATGGGGCCGGGCCCTGTTGGGCTGAGGCTGTGCTGTGGGGCTGAGGCCTTCCCTGGAGCTGGGCCCTGCTGTGGGGCTGAGGCCTTGCAATAGGCCCAGGCCCTGTTGGGCTGAGGCTTTAGCTGTGGGGCTGAGGCCTTGCTATGGGGCCGGGCCCTGTTGGGCTGAGGCTGTGCTGTGGGGCTGAGGCCTTCCCTGGAGCTGGGCCCTGCTGTGGGGCTGAGGCCTTGCAATAGGCCCAGGCCCTGTTGGGCTGAGGCTTTAGCTGTGGGGCTGAGGCCTTGCTATGGGGCCGGGCCCTGTTGGGCTGAGGCTGTGCTGTGGGGCTGAGGCCTTCCCTGGAGCTGGGCCCTGCTGTGGGGCTGAGGCCTTGCAATAGGCCCAGGCCCTGTTGGGCTGAGGCTTTAGCTGTGGGGCTGAGGCCTTGCTATGGGGCCGGGCCCTGTTGGGCTGAGGCTGTGCTGTGGGGCTGAGGCCTTCCCTGGAGCTGGGCCCTGCTGTGGGGCTGAGGCCTTGCAATAGGCCCAGGCCCTGTTGGGCTGAGGCTTTAGCTGTGGGGCTGAGGCCTTGCTATGGGGCCGGGCCCTGTTGGGCTGAGGCTGTGCTGTGGGGCTGAGGCCTTCCCTGGAGCTGGGCCCTGCTGTGGGGCTGAGGCCTTGCAATAGGCCCAGGCCCTGTTGGGCTGAGGCTTTAGCTGTGGGGCTGAGGCCTTGCTATGGGGCCGGGCCCTGTTGGGCTGAGGCTGTGCTGTGGGGCTGAGGCCTTCCCTGGAGCTGGGCCCTGCTGTGGGGCTGAGGCCTTGCAATAGGCCCAGGCCCTGTTGGGCTGAGGCTTTAGCTGTGGGGCTGAGGCCTTGCTATGGGGCCGGGCCCTGTTGGGCTGAGGCTGTGCTGTGGGGCTGAGGCCTTCCCTGGAGCTGGGCCCTGCTGTGGGGCTGAGGCCTTCCCTGGAGCTGGGCCCTGCTGTGGGGTTGAGGCCTTGCCATGGGGCCGGGCCCTGAGTGGCTGAGGCCTTGCTGTGGAGCTGAGGCCTCCCATGGGGCTGGGTCCTGTCATGGGGCTGAGGCCTTGTTGTGGGGCCGGCCCCTGTGGGGCTGAGGCCTCCCATGGTGCTGGGCCCTACTGTGGGGCTGAGCTTGGAGGCAGTTGGGGTTCCCCAGCTGGGCTGGGCTTCCCCTGACACAGGGTGACAGCAGGCGGTTGTCCCCCCCCACCCCAGCCCATCCCACCCCAGCCCAAGCAGCACCCATGGGTGCCCTACCTGAGGGTGCCGGCTGCCCCGGGG